GGGATTCGAACCCGCCACCTTAGGTGTACGTGGCTGGCGCCTTAGCCGGTTGAGCTATAGGCGCCGAGCCCAAATTGTCTTTCTACTGAGCTCCTTATATGGGATTAATGGAAATTAAGATTTCTTTTGCACATAAAGAATTTCCTTCAGCATAGTCCTAATACAGTCCAACTGCCTTTAACAAGTAAGAGTCCTAGGCCAGATGCAGTGGCTCATGCCTGTAATCCCACTCTGGGAGGCCAAGGAGGGTGGACTGCCTGAGCTCAAAGGTCGCAGGCTAGCCCGAGCAAGAGTGAGACTCCATCCCTAAAAATAGCCGAATGTTGTGGCAGGCGCCTATAGTCCCAGCTACCTCCAGAGGCTGAGGCTAGAGAATCATTTGAGCCCAAGAGTTTGAGGTTTCTGTGAGCTATGATGCGATGCCACTCTACCCAGGGCAAAAGTCAGACTCTATCTCAAAACAAAACAAAACAAAAACAAGAATTCTCTCCCCTGTAGTTAATGAAATGAAAATAGCTGGAATTCCCATAAAGGGACTACAAAACTACAGAAGTGTCTTCCTGAGATTGGTAAATACATGAAATATTTTGTTTATAGAGAGAATTTTTACCTTAGGGCAAAGAGTTCACCCATTTTCTTCATGACTTCTTCATGAGATAGTTTCACTTTCTTCCCAGCTTTTAATGCCTATTTAGGAGAAAAAAAAGAAACCCCAAATATATTTTTTCCTTGTATTAGGTCTGTAAGCCAAATTCTAAAGTGACATATCTTTGATCTTATGTAAGTATCTCTTAGAACGACTTGTCTCCTAGATTAATGTCCTAACTCACCCTAAATTTCACAATCTTACTAAGTAGAAATTTCATAGTCTCTTTTCATTTCCCTATTAGCATTTCCTATGACATATATTCTGAATCTTTCTTTTTCTTTTTTTTCTTTTTTTTGAGACAGAGCCTCAAGCTGTCCCCGTGGGTAGAGTGACATGGCTTCACTGCTCACAGCAACCTCCAACTCCAAGGCTCAAGCGAGTCTCCTGCCTCAGCCTCCCAAGTAGCTGGGACCACAGGCGCCCGCCACAACGCCCAGCTATTTTTTGGTTGCAGCCATTATTGTTACTTGGTGGGCCCGGGCTGGATTCGAACCTGCCACCTTAGGTGTATGTGGCTGGTGCCTTAGCCGCCTGAGCCACAGGCGCCGAGCCTATTCTGAATCTTTCAGTGGAAAAGCAGGGCCTTACATCATTATTCATTTTTTTTTTTTTGAGACAGAGCCTCAAGCTGTCCCCCTGGGTAGAGTGCTGTGGTATCATAGCTCACAGCAACCTCCAACTCCTGGGCTCAAGCAAGTCTCCTGCCTCAGCCTCCCAAGTAGCTGGGACCACAGGCGCCCGCCACAATGCCCAGCTATTTTTTGTTTGCAGCTGTCATTGTTGTTTGGCGGGCCTGGGCTCGATTTGAACCCACCACTTTAGTGGCTGGCCACTGTGGCCACTTGAGCCACAGGCACCGAGCCACATTATTCTTTAACAATAAAGACAAAATTAATTATAGTAAAAATGATTTTTAATGTATTGTGAAATTTTAGAATACCTTTATATGTATTTTTCATGCCACTATTTTCTCATAAATTAGCAAGCACACTTTTTTAACCAAGAAAAGTGGTTACAATTTCCTTCCTTAGAAAGGAACATTTCATTTTTCTTCCTTAATTCAGTTACATTAAAAATACTACCCTGTCATTTGTATTTACCTGTATGGATTTGGAGAACACTCTACTAAGTATCTCAAGGATGGAAAAGCAGGGCGGCACCTGTGGCTCAGTGGGTTGGGCAATGGCCCCATATACCGAGGGTGACGGGTTTAAACCCGGCCCCAGCCAGCTAAAGCAGCAGTGGCAACTGCAACAAAAATAGCCAGGCATTGTGGCGGGTGCCTGTAGTCCCAGCAACTTAGGAAGCTGAGGCAAGAGAATCACCCTAGCCCAAGAGCTGGAGGTTGCTGTGAGCTATGACACTACAGCACTCTACAGAAGGTGACAAAGAGAGACTTTGTCTCAAAAAAAAAAAAAAAAAAGAATGGAAAAGCAAGCATTCATGTACTCAGTACTATGTTGAAACTAGAAGATTAACAACTATAGGCTGGCTTGGTGCCCGTAGTTCAGTGGTTAGGATGCTGTCCAAATACACTAGGGCTGTGGGTTCGAACCCAGCCCAGGTTAAACAATAGTGACAATTACAATAAAAAAATAGTTGGGTGTTGTGGCAGGCGCCTGTAGTCCCAGTTACTTGGGAAGTTGAAGCAACAGAATCACTTAAGTCCAAGAATTTGAGGTTGCTGTCAGCTGTGACTCCACGGCATAGTGAGACTTTGTCTCAAAATAAAACAAAAAAAATAAGAACTACAGGACCACATAAGAGAAAAATACAATTGAATTCAAGAAGGGGGAGGTATGGAAGGAGTTTGGTAGTTCCCACCTAATGGGTACAATGTAGGGTATATGGCACATTACCTGGGTGAAGGGCTCAACTGCAACTCAAACTTTACCTAACAAAGAGTATAACCTAATCGTATGTACCCTCGTATTAATACAAAATAAAAATAAACAGAATATTCACAATCTTTGAAAATGAGGATAATACCACATGCCCCCTCATGATCTGACAGAGATTTGTGAGTATGAATGCAAAAACAGTTGTACATTTTAAATATCAGTCAATAAATGTTTACTGAGGACCAAAAAAAAAAAAAAAACTCACAAAAAAATTGCACCATCTGAGGAAAGTAATTTAAAGTTTTAAAAGGTAGGCCAGGCACGGTGGCTCATGCCTGTAATCCCAGCACTCTGGGAGGCTAAGGCAGGTGGATTGCCTGAGCTCACAGATTTGAGACCAGCCTGAGCCAAGAGTGAGACCGTAACTTTAAAAACAGCTGGTATTGGGCAGCGCCTGTAGCTCAAAGGAATAGGGCACTGGCCCCATATGCTGGAGGTGGCGGGTTCAAACCCAGCCCTGGCCAAAAACTGAAAAAAAAAAAAAAAAAAGCTGGGTGTTGTGGCGGGTGCCACAGTTTGGCGGGGACAAACTGAGGAATGACTGTATATTGTTATATGGGGAATTCATATTTTTCCTATATAAAAATCAACCTTTGAAAATAAGCTTAAAATTGATATAATTACCTCTGGGATTGACTGAATAGATTCAACAAATTTATCCAGTGATGCTTCCCAAATAGCCAGTTTCACTGAGGGGAAAAAAAATTAACCATGGAACGTTTCTTTATCATTACTATTCACATTTACACAAAATGCCTAATTGTAGAGGACCTTCACTACCATTTCAACAACAGTTTAACTATGAGAAAATAAGCTTTAAGAATAGTTAATAATTATCAGAAAGGACAGAATTAAAGTGGAAAAAGAAGAAACCATAGATTTTCAAGCCCTAGTGGCAGACCACAGATAACACTTCGTAGAATTCCTGATTTTCTAACATTACACCTTGGAAACGGTGTGATGTACACTTTGATACAATGGGTTGCTGCACAGGTGGGGCAGGAGTGAGATTTTCCTGGCCTTGCCTTTTGCTCTTCATGAGTATAAATAAAGCTCAGAAATCTTGTAAGCCTCACAGAGTGGTAGAGATGGGCTGCAGCAGCTGCAATCTAATGTAGACTGATGGCAAAAGAAATTCTTAGAGAACTTATATAGTTTTATTGGGGGGGGGCATGGATTATCAGAAAACCTAGACACTGTGACTCCATGTCCCATTCCTATGAAATACCAGAGTTATGTTTTGCTACATAGGAGCCTGTGTCCAAACCAGAAGGTTGGGCTTTCTCTGCAAAAGGAATCATATAGAACCGGAGAGAAAACAAAGGCAATAATATAAAAAATATGTTTCTTTTGGGGGCAGGACACTATTATTAGAGGGACTTTACCCAGCAACGCAAGCAGTGTAACCTGGCTCTTTGTACCATCAATGATTCCCCAATAATTAAAAAAAAAAATCTTCAAAGAAGTGAAGGTTTATCAAAACAATTAATAAGGAATGAGTAACTTGAGCACAATACTACCCTTTATACTACATATTACGTATTTTTTCTGCTGGAGGGAAAACAGGAAAAGGAATGCTAAAGCTTTGCTGAGCATTCTAAAAACACGCCCAAATCTCTCGACGAACTGAAATAAAACTGTAGTACTTGCTCCTGTACATCTCGGTAACTTACCTGAAAGGCAGAGAGCATTGGAGAAAGCAAATTTCTCTAGAATGGCATCATCTAAATCCAACTCTGAATTTAACTTGATTTCCCCTCTGTGAAGTTTTGACTGCCCCCTGTGAAACGTAAAAAATGAGACTATCTTTAAATCTTGAAAAAGGGCTCAGCGCCTATAGCTCAACCGGCTAAGGCGCCAGCCACGTACACCTAAGGTGGCGGGTTCGAATCCCCAGCCCGGACCCGCCAAAACAACAATGA